TACTTAGGTCAGACAGCTTTCCTATCAGATGATGCCCGGTGCAACACAAACCACCCCTCCCTCCAGCCCATCTTCTACCCTGCAGTCAAGAGAAGTTTCCAGGGGAAAAAGTAATAAAATAAAGCTGGAGGTAGAAGAGAGGAGGGAAAAAAAGAACTGTCAAAATATTCCCGTGCTCCCTTCGGCAGTCCCTATACTAAAACTGGAATGATACAGACAAGATTAGCATGGCCCCTGCACAAGGATGACACTCAAAATATTCCCAATGCAGAAACTTCTAGGTCAGAGTCCACACTTTAGCAAAGCATACAATGCAAGGTATCTTCTACGGTGTTTAAAGACACGTGGGATTACAAGTGAGAAACACTGGGCCACCTGGGTGGCTTAGTAGATTCAGCCTCCAACTCTTGATTTCTTAGGCTCAGGTCATGATCTCACATGGTTTATGAGATCGAGCCCTACAAGTCAGGTTCTGCACAGACAGTGCCCAGCCTGTTTGGGATTCTCTCTCCCTCTCTCTGCCCCTCCCCCACTCATGCTTTCTCAAAAACATTTTAAAAAAGAAATCCTTAAAAAAAAAAATGTGAAAAAATATATTAACCACCAGAGTTCTTGTTCTTTTGAGAAGTGACAGAGGTGGTAGTTTTAAGTGTAATTTTGCTTAGGAAAAAGCACATATTTCTATTCTGCCACACTGCACAAAGATTTTCAATTGAATAAAATTCAGCGAAGGAAGATTAATCACAACATCCCAAATTCAAACATTTTTGGCACTAGATAACTGGTAAGAATGAGAACAATTCAGTAACAACTAATGAAGATAATCAACTACCTTAAAAACCTTCACCTATCTTGAAGATTAAGAGAAATAAATCTGCCTGGAAATACAGGTTTTATTTAACATATTCGTGTTAAGAGATAACATACACTCCAACATAAGGAAGCAAGTTTCCTCAGGAACAAGAGGCGCCTGAATTACAGACTACTGAAACACTCAAGGACACAACTCAAGCCAATTAGAAGGCCAAAAACAATTGAGTACCACCAGTTAATTGTCCAGATTAATTCATTTTACATGGTCACTTCTAGGTGCATGGATAGGTTCTAACAGAAGCCCACATGATTTCTCCAGAAATAATCTCCATTCACTGGTATATTTGTATACTCCAATTTTCCTTCCCCATCCTTGCTAGATCATTAAAGACTACTATTCTACCACTCACAATAATTGATTTTAAGTTTATTTATTTTGACGGGGGGGGGGGGGGGGGGGGGGGGGGAGAGGGAAAAGGAGGGAGAGGCAGAGAGAGAATCCCAAACAGGCTACGTACTGTCAGCACACAGCCTGACACCGGGCTCGTTCCCATGAACCTTGAGATCATGACTTGAGCAGAGATCAAGAGCCAGATGCTTAACCCACTGAACCACCCAGGTGCCCCCATAATAATTGATTTTATGAACACCAGCAACTTAATAGGGAAAATATAGACAAAAAGCCGAAAAAATCCTAAAATGCCACCAAGGCTTTTAAATTATTGGCCTATATATCAGTGAAGACCTGTTTTAAAACAAACATGATAGCCAAGAGAAGGCTTTTGTTCATTTTAATAGTATTAAACTCAGCAGTCATAAAACAAAAGAAACATCCTTCAGTTCTAGGGAATTTCTGTAAACTAAAGTATCTGGATTAAGCACCTCTCTTCAGGTTTTCTCCAGAGAGAAATAAGAAAGTATACACAGCTAAAATGCACATTCAAAACATAAAACCAACAGAGAAAACTTCATGCAATTTGGTTATTCATTATGACGAAACTAGCAACAATTCAACCTGTTAGACTAATATTAAAAAAAAAAAGTGGTACCGTTTAGATTTTCCTTTTCCATAAATCACATGACATCCTAAAAGAGAGTAACAATTTTGAATCTTATTAGCACTGTATTTTCTTATTAGGAATAATGTAAACATCAATTAAGTTTTACAAAATTACAGCAAAACTTCACACTAATTCAGAAATAATTCCTTTTCTCAATTTTCAGAGGGCCTTACTTTATATACACCCAAACATCTGTACAACCTGTAACTGAATAAACACATTAATACCATAATACATACTAAGAAATTAAGTCAAAATGAAGTATAATCAAGTCTAATTTTTAAAATAAGGTTCATCATCTGAAAAATACATAAAAAGAAGATAAAATTCATCTGGTTTCCTAAATCTCAGGATGAGGAAAATCTTGCTTCTATTAAATCTCCCTGATGAACCTATCCACTGAAATAGAAGCAAAAATCTCATGAAATCAAATGCCACTACAAAGATGTGTTTCTGCATAAGTGTGCTCCATCCACTTGTCTTAACTAGGATTCAAGGTAGTGGCATACTGATTTGTTCCTACCATACAATAGAAGCAAGTAATTTCTCTGATCCCCTTCCAGGCTCTCTCAACTGGGGTTCCTCATCTGAACTACCAAGCACAGATAATTTGACCGTTTTCTCCAATTTCCCAAGAATGATACATAACTAGAATCGTTCTAAATGCATAGTAGAAAAAACTGAATTAGCTGCATACATCAGAGAACTTAGGCCATTAGGATGCCATTCTGTATACAGACCTGGAAGAAATACTGCCACAAGTTCCACAGTGTTACTGTGTTATTAGGCTCCAGTCATCCTAACCCCCAAGGTATTTAAAAACAAACAAAAAAACAAAACTAGGTGCACAAAACAAAACTAGGAACTTCAACAAGATAAATTTGCTTTACTTCTACTTTTAGGAACCAGGTCTTTTCATTTGCTAATTTACTATGAATTAATAGCAATAGCATGAATGTCAACTATCTTCCCCTGCTCTAAATAGAAGGGTTTTTTTTGTTTTGTTTTGTTTTCTTTTTTGAGAAAATAAACCCATACAGATCTACTGACTCTTTGTTAAAGGAAATTACCAGCTCGTTAAAAAAGGGATAGTAATCAGTATATTAAAGAAGTGAGATATTAATTTGACAGGCTTTTTCGTATTCCTTTAGCAAGCTTTTAAATACATTTTTTGATGATCATAACTGCTAAATGCAGTTGCTTTTTCACTTTAAGATTTTTTTTAACTTTTTTTTTTTTAATGTTGATTTTTGAGACAGAAAGAGAGCATGAGCAGGGAAGGGGCAGAGAGAGGGAGACACAGAATCCAAAACAGGCTCCAGGCTCTGAACTGTCAGCCCAGAGCCCGACGCTGGGCTTGAACTCACAAACCATGAGATCATGACCTGAGCCGAAGTCAGATGCCCAACCGACTGAGCCACCCAGGCGGCCCTAACTTTTAAAGTTTATCTATTTAACTTTGAGAGAGAGACAGAGACAAGGAGAAAGAGAATCCCAAGCAGGCTCCACACCATCAGCGCAGAGCCCAACACGGGGCTGGAACCCACAAACTGTGTGAGATCATGACCTGAGCTGAAATCAAGAGGCAGATGCTTAAACACCTGTGCCACCCAGGTGCTCTTTAATCTCCCATTCTCAAGAAACTCTTGTTACTCCTCAATGTAGTGACTACAGCCGTGTTAATTACAATCAAACTAACCTTCAACTATGTTAATTATGATCAAGCCACAGTAAGGACGGCACTAGTTCTTTTTCTCAAAAAAGGAAAAGCTTTTAATGGCCCAATTTTAGGAAATGTCAGTATTTCTACTTACGTATCAAAATTATAACAATTAAAGGTAGGTAAAGAGTTATTCTATATTGAATGTGCAAAGCAGCATTAAAAACATGGAAAAAACTAACCATGACATTCTCGTTTTCAATTTATGCTACCATGAATATTGATAGTACAGAACATTAGGGCAGATAAATAACATTATTGAACATTTCACTTCAACTCAAATCTCTCACATTTGGAAACATGAATAAAAGGGCCACAAAAATGGAGGGGATAGTGTTTTCACTGTTCTAGCTGCGCTCACTTGTGAACATAATGCAATGATATGGGGAGGTTTATCTTCTATAGTCAGCATCTCTAATCAGATTAAACTTCAATTTCTTTTCATGAACTGGGAAGGGAGGGGTTTCTTGATTCATTTACTGTATTAACCGTTTTGAGGTAAAGTAAATCACCACTGAACACACGAGGCGGCCAAACTCCGTTTCCTCAGATCAAGTGCACCCTTCCTCTGTTTCTACACAAAAGCACATCATTTCGCTATTAAAAATGTCCATTTCTAACAAATGACTTTTCCTGAACTCTTGTCAACACTGCTTTTCCGAAGCACCTCGGCTCTTACTGCATCTTTTGGGCAGAGTCCTGATACTCAGCCTCTCTTTAAGAAACTGGTTTCAATGTTTAAAATGCCCTCCTCCTCCAAAGTAAGAGGAGCTCGCATTAACCATTACCTAAAGTCGCAGTTCACTGGAGTCAAAAATGCATTTTTTTCATCACACATTCAACCCATTCAACTGCTCGCAGTAGGTGTGGCTACTGACATAGACTTAAGAATTACAGTTTTATATTAACAGCCAGTCCAAAGGAGAGAACTCCCTCCTTTCCCAAATACTCCCACGTTCCTTGGAGACCCTTTGACTCTTGGCCTTTAGAAAACGCTCACCACTTGGGTCCCCAGTTAGCACTACGTTTGGCAATGGGTCTTCCCCTCACTTCCTGATACTAAAAAGCCACAAGCACGAGGGCTGCAGGGTCGGTTTGTTTCAAAAACAATCTTTGCTCCCTGCACCCCAAGGGGAAGACGTGTGCCTCCTCTGCTGGGGACCCACTCTGAGGCGGGGGTGCACCCGGTGTCTAAAACCCAAAGCCCAGGGCGCAGCGGGAGCGGCGCCGCCAGGGTTAAGCGGCGCTTTTCCTCCCCAGAGGGGCGAGCGGGCCGCGAGGCAAAGCCGCGGCGCTCAGGCTGAAGGAGAAAAGGAGAAAGGTAAAAACCCAGCGCGGCCGCGGCCCACGTGCGCCGCCCGCGGGAGGCAGGGAACCGGGGAGCCGGAGAGGGGAGGGAGCCGTACCTCCAAACATGTGCGGCGAGAGGTGAGCTGGTAAGGAGCCGATCACCAGGCGCGGTCCGCCGGGGCCCCCGCCCGCCGGCCGGTCCCTGCTGCCGCCGCCGTCCTCAGGGGTGTAATGCACCAGGTCCCTGCAGGCAGCCACAGACCCGCTGCTGCTGTTGGGGATGTTGAAGGAGGACTGCGCCGCGCGAACAGCGACATACGCTCCCCGGCCCGCCGAACAGCTGCGCGACCGCCGAGGTCCCGCAACGCCGCCGAGGCGCTGGGCTGGTGCGCGCCGGACACCTGAGCCGGAAACCTCCCCGGGGCCGCGGCCCGCATCCCCTCCACCGCCACCGCCGCCGCCGCCGCCACCACGCCCACTTGTCCCCGGTAAGCCCCTCCGCTGCTGCTGGAAGGGTAGATCGAACCCGAGTAGGCGCGAGTGCGGTGACCGTTAACGGCAGCCGGACCACACATCTGCTTAGCGCCGTAATCCGCCAGCCCAGGCCAGACCCGCGCCGCTGCCCGACGCCCAGGCTCAGGGAGAACGGATGAGCTGAACGAGCAGGAAGAGCCGAGGAGCATACGACCCGCGCAAAAATACCATCAGGACCGCCGCCCGCGCCCTTGAAGAACGGTAGGCGCCCGGCGCGCTCTTGTGCTCGGGGGCAGCGGAGGCGAGACCAGTAACCTGCAGGGAGGTCACGCAGAGAGAGAAGCAAGGAGAAGGAGGAGGCGGAGAAGGAAGGAGGTCGGGCTGCGGCGGACGCCGTGTCAAGCTCCAGCGGGAGGGCAGCTCAGGTGGCGCGGCTGCCCAGCTGGTTTCGGTTCTGGTGCTCCGGGACGGGCCGCTGCCCTCTCTGCCCGCCTGCCGCCGCCGCCGCGCTCTGCGCCCGGGGCCTCGGTACCGCCTCCTCCCGGGCGGCCGCAACTACCGCCGCCATCCTCCCGCTCACACGGCGGCTCGCGGGTGAGTGGGGAGGCATACCAGACTCCGCCAGGGCCACCTTCCCTCAACCACCCAGCTGTTATTAACGGAGAAAGAGGAAAAACGGGTGGCGCGTGAGGGGAGGACGGAGGAGGGAAGGGAGGGGCGGCGCGCGCTTCCCGGCAACCGTCTATGCCTCCCCCCGCAGAAAGAAGGGGCAGGGGGGGGAGTCTGGGCCACAAGGTGGGGTGCCAATGGGGAGGGTAGCCTTCACACCGGAAGGCCGAGGAGCAGCGCGGCTCCAAAGTGCACCGGGCCGGGTGTTTGGGTCGCGGGCGGTAGCCCCACCCCCACCCCCTCGCGCCGCCCGGCGGATTGGCTCCCGCCGGCCCGGCTCCGCCTCCCCCGGCCGCGGCCTTCCCGCCCCGGCCCCGCCTCGCCTAGGTACAGCGGTGTGGTAGGTGCTGCCACCCGTGGACTCGGTGATGGACAGGTCGTTGGCTCCGCCCCCTCCCCCAGGGCGCGCCCCCTCCTTCACCGCGGGGCCTAAGCGGATTGGAGGGATGAAGCCCCTCGGGGCGCCAACCAGAAAGCGGCCCCTCCTCTTGCACGTGGCTCCAGGACCCTGGGTTACACCGGCTGTAGGAACTTCACGTTTTCCCAGCTGAGCCTGGGAATGGCTGGGTCTTGGGGCCGGAACTTTCAGTTTGGGTGGGTGTTAAGGTTCTCTTTGGTATTATTCAGAGCATCTCTTTTCAATAAAACAGAAGTTCAGCAATATTGATGATAAGACTATGAACAGCGAAAACAAAAGAAATAACCAAGAAGGCAGAAGCCAGCTCCATCTTAATTAGACCTATCCCATAAAACTGCTGGTGGAGGAAGCGCAGTTGGAAGAACGAAAGATAATCGAGCCTGACCTTCAGTAGTAAAGCAAAAACTGTGGTGCAGAGAAAGCTACACCCGATTTAGGAGACCAGGGGTCTGGGTCTGGGAGCAGAAATAACTTACATGCAGTAAGCAAATTTTACCTTTTTGGACATTCGTTTCCTGACCTGGGATTAAATCCCTAGGGCACCCGCAGCCTTAAAATGCAATAATTTCTCTAGGGGCCCCTGACTGGCTCGGTCGGCAGACCGTGGGGGGGTGTGAGTTTAAGCCCCCAGGCTGGGTGTAGAGATGACTTAAATAGATAAATAAACTTTAAAAAAAAGATCCCACTATGTCTCTAAAATGGAATTTAGGAAAATTCTCTTCGATTCATTACTGTGATGTAGTATCTTGGTGACAGAGCATGGTCTGGAAATTCGTTTTGAAAATGGCTGAAGTGTCCTCTCTTGTGAAAATAGCAACCGGTATTTTTGTACAAACTGTAAAAATAAATCTATTTTTCCCATATTTGTAATGTCATTCGTGTAATTATTTTCATCATTTAAGTATGAGAATCAAGTTTTTAAACAGAAGTGAAGAATATATGTACAGATATAGATGCATTGTGTGTGTATGTATGTATATATATATATGAGAACGTGTATGTGTATTTATCAATATATATGTATCAGTGTGTGTATGTACATATGTGTATATATCAGTGTATCTGAGAGTGGGAAAACAAAACTATTCCATGCAAATCTAAAATTCTGTCACCTTATGTATGAGCTTACTGAAACCATTGTTTACTTGGTAAGCAGAGAAAATTTTGAAAGGCTAAAGTGGTCACCAGAATAAGTTCTAGTTCAAGAAGGTATTTAGTGATTTGATCTGATTTAACTTTTACGAATGGGGCCTTCAGTGTAAAACTCTGGTTCAGCAGGAATATAGAAAAGTAACAGACACTATGATTTTAAAAAAGTAAAAGAGTTTTGCAAGTCTCTGAGGAGATAACAACTGATAAGCTAAAGGATATCACATTCATCATTATATATACATTCTAAAAGTTTAGGTAGTGGTGCCTGGGTGACTCAGTGTTGATCTTGGCTCAGGTCAGGATCTCATGTGATTGGTGAGATCAAGCCCACAGTCACGCTCTGCGCTAATAGCCAGAGGCGGTTGGGATTCTCTCTCTGCCTCTCCCTCACTCACACTCTTTTTCAAAATAAATAAATAAACTTTAAAAAAAAGTTTATGTAACTATAATATGGAGCAAATGCCATTCAGTAGTTAAAACTATTAAATGAAACGACTTAATAAAACTGTATGACTCTTAGTTGTATCCAGATTTAGTTATATTTTGCATCATCACATCCAAACTTATATTTTTAAATCATTTTCACTCAGATGGTAATTACACCTGAAAGCACTCAATATTTATTCCTAACTAGGAAAAAAAAATCCCCTTATAGTACCAGGTTTCCAACATTCATAGCACGCATAACAGCTGGAATTTTACACATTTGAGCAATTGTTTGATTTATGTCCCTTTCTCACAAGACTAAATTCCATGAGAGCATGGAAAGCGTGTAGTTTTCTTGCTCACCATTGGCAGTGCTTGGCACACAGTAGCCTCTAGGTAAGTATTTGTTGAACAAATGAGTGGCCAGGAGGCCATTTTACAGGCTGAATGTTGGATAGAAGAGAACACAAATTGAAATTAATTATTTAGCTCATAAACATGTGTTTTGTGTTACTCAGCACCAGGCAAAGCATGTTAGTCAGGACAGGCTAAGCTACTCAGTGGAATCAAACCCCTAACCTTGAGGGCCATGATGCAGGGAAGGAAAGCACATTTGTGAGCTCACTTGATCTGCCCTCTCATCTCTTCAAACGGTTTCCCACCTGAGTGGCAATCTTGGGTTTCTCTTCAAGTGGTGACTCAGGGACCCACACTCTTACCTGATGGCTACGCAGGCCCTCGGACCCCTAACAGAGCCCTTCTCTAAAACCTGTGTACCTGGCTGGCCAAGGGAAAAGGACTGATATTGAAAGAAGTTTTGGCCAAGCCTGGAAGGCTTTGCATCCTTCCTACCCACCACCCAAGCTGGCAGAAATCAGTCACATGGTCTAACCTAACTGCAAAGGGGTCAGGAAATGCGGTTTTATGTGTGTGCCCAGAAAGAAAAGGAAACAGTTTTGGCAAGTACAGAGCAAGTATATCTTTGTCACAAACAAGAACAGTTAGTTGCCTGACTGTCAAATATCTAAGTATTAAATCTTAGTAAAACATTTTATAATCAAGTTAATTTAAATGAAAATTTTCTAGTGACAGTTACTGTTATTAAGCCATCAAAATATAGTGAAGAAAAACTAATTTTTTGTGTGCATGTGGATCAGCTAAATTCTATCTTTTGTATTTTGAAAAAAATTTTTTAATGTTTATTTATTATTGAGAGACAGAGAGAGAGACAGAGCATGAGCATGGGAGGGGCAGAGAGATAGGGAGACACAGAATCCAAAGTAGGCTTCAGGCTCTGAGCTGTCAGCACAGAGCCCGACGTGGGGCTCCAACTCACAAACCTCGAGATCATGACCTGAGCCGAAGTCGGACACTCAACCGACTGAGCCACCCACGTGCCCCTAAATTCTATCTACTCTAAATTGTGTTTCTAGAAATGCTGTCTAACACAACTCTTTAATTAGCCATGTAGATCAGTGATCCACAAAAAACAGTCTCCAGATTAACAGTATCTGCATTGCCTGGAAACTTGTCAGAAAGGCAGATTTTCAGACCCCCACCCCAGACCTACTGACTGGAAAAGTGCTTGAACAAGTCCTCTAAGTGATTCTGACGCACACTAATGTTTGAGAAAACACTGCTCTAAATAATCACTGATTAGTTTCACAGTAGAATACCATGTTACGATGTGATCACCATTTTGATTAAATGCCCTCTCCATATGGATGTCCCCTGTGGCCCCACTCCCAACCTCACCATCGCAGGTTGACTTCTGTATTCCCACTAAATGCTGTGTTAATACTTCTTCACAGCACTGATCATGCTATTGACCTTGCTTGCTTGTCACTAAATAATGCAGTCCACGATAGGCCTCACATGTATTCTATACCCCCAGCACCAAACACAGTGCCTGGCACCTTTGATGGAAAACAAATGATCCGTGAATGAATAAATGAGTGAATGAATATTCCTACTTAAATGATTGTTATTTTTAAAAAATGTTTTAATGTTTATTTATTTTTAAGAGAGCGCAAGCAGGGGAGGGGCAGAGAAAGAGAGGGAGACAGAATCTGAAGCAGGCTCCAGGCTCTGAGCTGTCAGCACAGAGCCTGACCCGGGGCTGGAACCCACGGACCGAGAGTTCATGACCTGAGTCGGACGCTTAACTGACCGAACCACCCAGGCGCCCCAATGATTGTTTCTTGAAGGTCATACATGACCTTATCTTCTATTTACCCTCCTTGACATCTCCTCTGTGGTAGATTTCCTCTCTGGATAGGCCTTTTTGATTCTTTCCCCATGAGGATTCTGGAGTTAGAAAACCTTGGCTTGCTATGTTTTTTCCTTGGCCCTTTTCCTTCCTTCCTCAATCTCTCTCCAAACAGGAATCCACATTAAGCTGTCACTGTGTTTTATCGTCAACCAAACAGTTCTGGCTTCATATAAAATTTGTAGCTTCTTATTATATCCTACCAGTTCTTCAAAAATTAAAAGTGCTGCTTCATCTAAATCGGTACACATGGGTATACATACAGATCTAGAACT